AAAAGTTCCAATTTCTTTGTAGTTTAATACAAAACATGGGTTTATTAATCTAATATATTTTTTTATGATAAATTAAATATAAAATATAATAATATAATAATCATTATTAAAGATAAAAAAATAAAGTTAAAATTAATTAAATAAGTACTTATTAAAAATCATATTAAAAAATTAAAAAATTAAAGTGAATAAATTTGCCAACAAAATTAAAAAGTTTCAATTTCTTAGTGGTTTAGTATAAAACCCTACTTCAGTTAGCTTTTTCTATCCATTAGCCTTTTTCATCCACTAAGTGTTTAGATTATAATTATTATTTGTTAGCTCTAAATTATTAAATAAAAATTTTTAAACATTTTATTTCTAATGATTTCAAAATATAAAAATTTATCAAATACTTATTCTTAATCATTTAGACAAAATCATTAATCATTACCCTAAATTACTATCAAATGAGCCTTTGGTGGAGGCAACGCTGAATGTCCACACCTAATTGGCGGAGAGATAAAAAAATGGGTTTAAATCAAATTTATGTCATTTATATTGGCTCTGTTCTAGGATAGGCATTATGTTTTTAATTTTTTTCTCAAATTAAGAATTAAAAAATAATTTATATTTATAAAGAGAAACTTCTTTAAATAGGAGGAATAATTAAAGTTATTATATAAAAAATGGGATTTTTTTTTTTTTTGAGATAATGGCTGAGAGAATAGGGTTGTGTGAAATATTTAACTAGAATTAATTAATAGAACACGCAACCTAAGACTTGTTTGTCAGTACTGTGCTATGTTATGGCTACATGTAGGTGATTTTTTGTTTTTTATTTTTTTTAAAATATGTAAAATATTAATTGAAATTGATAAAAGTATATAAAAAATTAAGATAGTGATATAGGGATAATTTTTTCATATAATTTTTATACAACTTTTACATCTTAATAAATAAGTAGATATACTCAATATTACGAGTTTTAAATAAGTTAAAAAAATTAATAATTTAAATGATACATAAGATTGTATGAACAAAATAATATAAGAAATTATTCTTACGTTATTTTTCAAAAAATTAATTAATATTAATTAAGAGTTACTCCCTCTGTTTCAAAACAATTGTTCTTTTTTTACTTTAAATTTATTTTAAATGAATTATTTTTTCAATTTTTTTAAGTAAGTAAATAGTTTTTTTTTATTTTAATCGTATTATTATTTATTTATTTATCCTATCACAAGAAATCTTGTTTTGTCTTTTATTTTTTTAAGGATATTATAAATAAATATAAATGTTATATCTAAA